GTGTCGGTCTGGGCGTGGTTGGGGAGACTTGAGCTTCTGCCGAGGCAGTACTGGCAGATGCTGTGCTGGAAATCACATGGCCTACTGTGACTGTTGCGCCTGCGGGGGAGCTGTGTCGAGTTGGAAGGCTGCTTGTCTCGCGGGAGAGAGCTCTTGTGGATGCTGTGGTTGAGGCGGGAGCGTACACGGTACTACTAGACTGTGAGGTAGGATTGGGAGTTACCCCCGAAGAGGTGGTAGAAGCTGAGGCTATGCTCTCGTCGCTCACTTCCGTGGTGCGCGTTGTTTTCAAGCTATGGGTCCCCCCGGGGAGAGCACTGGGGGAAAAGACGCCTGTGGTAGCCTCACTCGCCCCCGAAGTGGTCTGTGTAGAGGTGCTGTGTGGGGGTGCACGGGTATGTGCAGTGCGTGTCGGGCTGGGCGTGGTTGGGGAGAGTTCTGCTTCCGCCGAGGCAGTACTGGCAGATGCTGTGCTGGAACTCACATGGCCTACTGTGACTGTTGCGCCTGCGGGGGAGCTGTGTCGAGTTGGAAGGCTGCTTGTCTCGCGGGAGAGAGCTCTTGTGGATGCTGTGGTTGAGGCGGGAGCGTACACGGTACTACTAGACTGTGAGGTAGGATTGGGAGTTACCCCCGAAGAGGTGGTAGAAGCTGAGGCTATGCTCTCGTCGCTCACTTCCGTGGTGCGCGTTGTTTTCAAGCTATGGGTCCCCCCGGGGAGAGCACTAGGGGAAAAGACGCCTGTGGTAGCCTCACCCGCCCCCGAAGTGGTCTGTGTAGAGGTGCTGTGTGGGGGTGCATGGGTATGTGCAGTGCGTGTCGGGCTGGGCGTGGTTGGGGAGAGTTCTGCTTCCGCCGAGGCAGTACTGGCGGATGCTGTGCCAGAACTCCCATGGCCTACTGTGACTGTTGCGCCTGCGGGGGAGCTGTGTCGAGTTGGAAGGCTGCTTGTCTCGCGGGAGAGAGGAATTGTGGATCCTGTGGTTGAGGCAGGAGCGTCCATGGTAGTACTACCATGTGAGGTAGAGCTGGGTGTTACCCCCGAGGAGGTGGTAGAAGCTGAGGCTATGCTACCATCGCTCTCTTCTGTGGTGGGTGTTGTTCTGAAGCTATGCGTTACCCCGGGGAGAGCACTTGGGGAAAAGACGCTTGTGGTAGCCTCACTCACCCCGGAAGTGGTCTGTGTGGAGGTGCTGTGTGGGGGTGCATGGGTATGTGCAGTGCGTGTCGGGCTGGGCGTGGTTGGGGAGAGTTCTGCTTCCGCCGAGGCAGTACTGGCGGATGCTGTGCCAGAACTCACATGGCCTACTGTGACTGTTGCGCCTGCGGGGGAGCTTTGCAGTGTTTGAAGGCTGCTTGTCTCACGGGAGAGAGCACTTGTGGATCCTGTGGTTGAGGCGGGAGCGTCCATGGTACTACTACCATGTGAGGTAGAGCTGGGTGTTACCCCCGAGGAGGTGGTAGAAGCTGAGGCTATGCTACCATCGCTCTCTTCTGTGGTGGGTGTTGGTGTGTTGCTATGCGTG